TTGCTCACACTGAAAGTAAAGCTTAAAATATCAAAGCAAGACCTTTAAACAAGGATTAGTAAATATTTGTATATCCTGCTCTCTGAACAGGTTTAGAAAGCAAAATTCGTTTTCTGTCAGGTACTCCTATCAATGAGACTGTTCTTTCCTTCATTGTCACAGAATGGGATACATGACCAGAGGTTTTCAACTTAAAGAGCTGCTACAGGAAAGGTTTGGGAACTGAATAAAGCACCAGGGAAGGATTTGCACTGATGTAACAGCAGTTTATGTGACTCGTCATGGTATAAGTTACATACTCGGATGCAAGCATGGTGGTATTTGCATTGCATTTTTTTAGCATGGTTGAGTAGCGTGTTGATGGCATCCACGTTAAACACCTGAAACAAAAATCTCCTTAGACTTACTAGACATTGCAAAATCTGAGCTGGCCAACCATAATTAAATCATATTTTCTATCAGTTTCCAGCCTTGTTCCCCAAAGATTCCCTTGTCCCAGAAATTTAATTAGAAGGCTCAGGGCTTGTGCACAAGTGGTTGAATCTGCCACTGGAAAATGGATACTACTGAGGAATCTGATTCTTCCTATCAGGCTGGTTAGTGCCACGGTGAACACTGATGGTATCAAGGCAGTAACCAAGTTGCTAAGAAGTTTAGTAACAGATTATTTGAATATGGAAACATGCTGTGTCTGCATAAGAGTAGCAGCTTTCAGGCCAGGAAAACTTATTTAAGTTACTCCTTTTCTTTTTTTATGGTAGTTGAGCTTTGGCTTAGGAAGGTGAGTTCACAGACATTAAGGAAAATGCACAGTATGATTTAAGCTTTGCTTGCTTTTTCCAGAAGCATATTTAGAAGGTGTGCTGTGGCTCCTGCAAGCCTCCCTATTCTGCAGGAGTTGGATGTCTTTAAATCCAGGCCTCCCTGTCTGAAGGACTGCAGTGTTTGTCCATTATACCCCTGGCCCACAGTGAAATTCAGTATGCTGCAGAATCCCGTTCATATTTTAAGATTACTGTCCTTTTCAGGTGGCTCCCTCTTTAGGGGTTTCCTCTTTTCCTTTCTCCACAGGGAATCTGGCGCATCCCCGTGGATGAGATCGACCGCCCAGGCAGTTTTG